TGAGCCAAAGGTCACTTCAAAGGCTTATGGCTACGCTCCCTAGTCTTTAGAAGCGCCCTGAACGCTTTGTGTGGGGTTTTTCCCGGGCGCAGTTTAGTGTTTGCAAACTACTGAGTCGACAAATTGCACAGGGCAGATCAAGAAAGAGACTGCGCCTCTCTCCTTTCACCTGATCTGTGGCCATTGCCTGCTGAGCAGCCACAGTGTTGAGCGGCTTGGATGTAGTTTTGGGGTGAAGGTAGGGAGGGCTGTTGGTTTCTTAGTCGCTTTACAGCCGAGTCCCGATCCAGAAGTGAGCAGAATATACGAAAGAAAGCTAGCTGAGCCAGAGAGGTAATGTACAAACCACGATATAGCTAGCGCCTAGCTTTGTTCACTCATGCTTTTGGGGGGAAGCTCTAGTAGCATCCAGCCAGGTGCACCTAAGTATCTACCCTCCTTTCTTGGTCTTCTAACCTGTAGCCTTCTTCCCACCTTCATTCATGGCTCTCTCTGCGCGGGCTGACCCACTTGGCTCGCCCCTGGGTCCTTCGCTCAAGACCAGGTTCTCTCCCCTCCCCCATCCAGCCAAGGATTGTGCCCTCTAGCTCCCCTGGAGCCAACTAAGTCTTCATTCTGCAGGGGCCAAAGCGTCTGGAATTGCTGCAGGCACCAGATACAATAGTCACATTGATTATGACACCCTTAAAGGGGGTAAAGGCTCTCCCGGTTTGTTTGCAAGACAGAACCGGCTGCTACTGAGTTTTCCATTTTGTTCCAGATCTGCTTCCACAGAATATAAAAGAAAGCTGAAGAGCCTACAAAAAGAGTTAGAAACAAAATTCAAGAAAACACACATACAAAGCTGTGGTGAGTGGAGGTGATTTAAATAAATAAATAAATAAATAAATTCCACTATATTTCCATGTTTCCCCCCTTCAATTCAAAGTAACCATCCCAGGATTCATACATCAAGACATAAAACAAAGGGCGGCTTTGAAGTGGCTCACCTCAGTGTGAGCTGCCGCCTGTTACATGAGAACCGATCATCGGCCTTCAAATTTATGGCACTTTAATAGAGTGCGTCCGCTGTCTTAAATGCAGGGTATGTTACAGTACTGAGTTATCCGGGCTAAACAGGAGTGATTTAGAACGCGCATCCTGGGCTTCCCAAAGGGCAGATGAGGCTTAGGCTGAGAGGAGAATGTGGGCAAATAGTCAATTTTCTTCCCAGCTAAACAGTTGAGGAGTGGTTTCCTAAACGCGATATTGCAAAGCCATCAGGGAAAGGAGTGTCATCGCTCGCGATGCCACTGAATTAACAAGAATGCCCAGTAAGAGTCGTGGCCTCCAAGATGAGACCCGTAGGTTATTTGAAGACCCGGCTTAGCCAAAATAAGGACTGGCGGTTAGATCAACTTAAACCTCTGAGGATTTTAAGAGAAGCCGACACAAGCAGCGCTCCATCACCTCCCAATTTTCTCTCAACTGGCACCGACTGACGGTGGAGGTCCGTTATTTAGTACCACTACAGGGCTAGCTAGACACAGCCCGGTGCTGTCGCCTCCCTCCCTGCCCAAGCCTCCCTCTCCCGCGGCCCCCCCGCCGTGACGGGCGAGCAAACGCCTGCTAGTAGGTCTCTGCGCATCCATCGAGCCTCCCCGCATCTGAGGCCAGGCGGGCAAGCAGGTCTGTGGTCCTCCGCCGGGCTTGCAATCCTCTCTGTCCAATTCGGGTTGCGGAGCACAGCTGCTGGCCCAGGCCGGCGCCGGCCACTTTATATAATCCCGCAGCTCTCACGCAGGGTGTATGGACGGGAAAAGTGCGGAGTAGGGGATTCTTTTGCTGCTCTGCCTCCTACGCAGAGCCTGCTTTCCACTTCTGAAAAGTGCCGGGCCTTGGGAAGTGTTTTTCTTTTCATTCCATACTGAAGCGTTTACTGCTGCCGTGGTCGCAGTCATAAATTTTGTTACAAACCACAATGACAGGTGCATTGATATGCACCGTGAGAGCTCCAGCTGCTTAATAACCCTGTCCCCTGGCCGCTGTGAGCGCCTTTTATTTATTCGGTATCATATTAGGTATTGATCTGGGCAGAATTAAGTGCAGTGAGCAAGTATCATGGCTCCGTTGCTTCTGAGGCTAGGCCGGTTGGGCGGGCCAGCACGGCTGGGGAGCAAATGATGAGAACTCTGAGAGGGTGCCTGGCCTTCCTCTGGGTTGGAAACCATTTGGCCCTGTCTTCTGGGTCCCGAGGTTAGGCCTCCAAGCTAAGTTGGGTAACTTCCAGGGACTTTGGAAAAGGACTAGCCAGTCCAGTTAGGCGACTGTTCCCTAAGAGGAGCCGAGGTGCTCCAGAGGACTGGGTGGTTGCACTGTCCCATTCCCCTGGCTCGGGTGAGGGTGGGGGTGGATGAAAAGAGGAGGAAGAGGAGGAGGGGGAGGGGTTAAGAGGAAAAGAGGAAAACTGAGGAATACTCCAAAATAAGAAGTCCTGCTCAACTGCCCCTCCCCAAAGCTGTGGGCCCTCCCCCCACAAGGCATTTGGATCTTGGCGCTCAAATGAGCAAAGGTACCAAAGGGTGAGAAAAGAAAGCCTGGGGGGGGGGGGGATCGAAAAGATGAGCCACTGAACAGTTGACCATTGTCCAAATGATTTATGACCCAGTCCCGTTTTTTAGGTTCAAGCAGAGTTCACAAGGAGTAGGGATTTCTGGAAAGAAATAAACTTTTTTTTTTTTTTAAATCAGTCTTGTAACAATATTCTCAGATTATGCTTTGGAAGCAGGGCTTCTTCGGGGCTCGGTATGGTGGTTGCTGCAAACCCCCCCCCCAGGGCCAAAAGAGAACAGCACTATTGCTACCTTTGCTTGTAAAGAAATGGACATTAGACCATGGAGTGGGAAATTCTTTAAGGCAATGTAAACAGGCAAGAGATGACTCTGGTTGTGAGGGCTATCTGTACCTCTGAGGTCTTTATATAGAGATTTTTCTAGGAACATGCCACAGGCACAAAAATAATATGTAAAGCCATCTGTCCCATAGGCTTGCTTAGTTCCTCAGGAAGTGATTTTAATGTGACTGGTCCACCTCCCAAGACAAACTTGGTCAACACAGAGGCAAAGGGGGATGTTTTGCTTCCACAGTTGTCAGTGTAATGACAAAGCAGCAGCAAATTCTGGTGGGCTCAGAAGCCTGATGCAACAGAAGAGAGCAGGATCCCTAAAACTTGGCAGGTTCTTTGGCCTGGGGCAAACATATATAAGTATTAGTCACAGAATGAGGATTTAATGTCCACTTGCTGTTTGGTAACTTTAGTAGTCAGTGATTGGAATTGAAAACTAATCAAAAGTATTAGTCTAGCTTTGTTAGGTGGCTATCTTAACTGCATACTTTCATGGGGACTAGTAGAAACAGTGCCTACAACAAAACATTTCAGTATTACTGCAACCCACTGAGAAGGACCCATCTCTCATCAAGATAAATGGCATTTTCACTTGTATTCTAAAACAAAATGGGCAACCATACTACTAAACAAAATTTGGAGAGTTTTCTTAATTGGTTGGGCTTCCTGGTAAAAATACAGGGGGAAATTAATGCAGAAGTATTTTGGTTCCTGTGTTTAAATCTGATTGGCCATAAGTCAAATGATGTGGAAGTCAGGGAGAATTTTTGGAAAGAAACTTTGTCTGAAAGATGAGCTCAGGAATTTAGGCCAAAGAGCTGACCTGGGAGTTTTCTTTATCAAACAGACAAAAGTGATTGAATGATATTAGTTATACTTTAACTCCTTAGGACCCTTTTAGAAGGGATGGGAACAGCATCCCCCCTATGAAGAGTTAGGGCATACAAAAGGGGAAGAATTTTTCTTAACCCCCCATCCTTCTAATTCTGGGTCCATTCATCATGTCATGAGAACTTCTCTCATTGGTTATAGGTTGGGTGGGAGGTGGGGCAGAATGGAAGGTCCAGAGCAGAGGTCAATAATAATATCTATTTATGTGAAGATCCAAAGGAAAATGATAAAGTTATGAGCATTCTCCATTAATGTACCCTACATACATTTCAAGATTTAAATCCCTTCATCCATTTTCAGTGATACCTTTCTGAAAGTAGCAGGAGGACAAAGTAAGGGGTGTGGGAAAAATGTAGATGAAAGAAACTTTTTTTTGTTTGTTTCAAAGTAAGTCTGGGAGCCTTTAAGTTTTCCTTTTGTTTTTTACTTCCCAGTTTTCTACACTGTAGATTTCATAGTGTTGACCCACAAAACTAACTGTGAATTCTCACCCTGCCATCCAAGTGGACTGTGTGGGTCTTCAAAAAAGATGCTGTGATTCTGAAACTAGGTGGGAAAGATTGTTTTGAAGAGGAGCTCTGGAAACTCTGGGTGTGTAATAGGGCTTTTCTTTTATCCATCCAAACACTGAGGCTATGGTTTTGTGGTAAGAGTCCCCACACAGCACGCACAAAGTCCTTGGCTTGATCTCTAGCACCAAGCAAAACCAAACCCCAGGATTATCCAAAAACTAATTGATTGTGACCTATTCGTTCCCTCATTTATCCATCTATTTAATAACCATTTATTGCACTTGTAGTTGCAGGACATTGCACTGAACACTAGTGATATGTAGATGAATAAAACGCAATCCCTCCCTTTAAGGAGTCCAGAGTTTAGGGGGGAGAAGCAGCCAGTCATAAGTGTTTTCCCTTGCAGGCTCCAAGTCTATATTGACAATCTCGAAGAAAGACAATTCTTCAAGAGAATCTTGGGGTGGGAGGAACTTCTTCCTTAGGCTAAAGTTGAACTCAGGAAGAAAGGTCTTTTCTTACATTTAGGAGAAATCCTCCAACTTTTCCAATAGTTCATATAAATTGAACTTCATAAAACCCCCAATCCAGAACCTTGCCCATCCTTCCACATCAAAGTGAGTGGGAAGCTGAGAGCCTGCTCTAGCCCTTCTATATTGATTGGTCTTGCCAATGACAGTCCCTCTAGTATCTCTCCCTTTTTTTCTTGGCAGGTCACCTGGAGCCTGGGAGCTGGCCAGGCTCTCTCAAGATTCAGCAGACACTGGCCTTGGTGGTGAAGAAGACAGTGGTAGTCAATGTTATTTGGACAGGGTCAGCAGGCCCTGGAGTTTCCTGAGTGCACCATGCAGAAGGCTGCATACTATGAGAACCCAGGACTCTTTGGAGGCTATGGTTACAGCAAAGCCACCGACACCTATGGCTACAGCACTCCTCATCAGCCCTACCCACCCCCTGCTGCTGCCAACTCCCTGGACACTGACTACCCAGGTTCTGCCTGCTCCATCCAGAGCTCTGCACCTCTCCGAGCCCCAGGCCATAAAGGAGCTGAACTCAATGGTAGCTGCATGCGACCTGGCACTGGGAACAGCCAGGGTGGGGGTGGTGGCAACCAGCCTCCTGGTCTGAACTCAGAGCAGCAGCCACCACAACCTCCTCCTCCACCACCCACCTTGCCCCCATCCTCGCCCACCAATCCTGGAGGTGGAGTGCCTGCCAAGAAGGCCAAGGGTGGGCCTAATGCTTCTAGCTCTTCAGCTACCATCAGCAAGCAGATCTTCCCCTGGATGAAAGAATCCCGACAGAACTCGAAGCAGAAGAACAGCTGTGCCACTTCAGGTAGCTCTCTGGGCATGTTGTTCCTGGACCACAGCCCTTTATATTGGCTCCAAGAACCAGTTACCTGGGAGCCAAGAGACTCAGGGCTATCAGAGCAACCTTAGCAACAACATATCCAAATGTAGAAATGTCTGTTCTTTCTAGTGATTTTGATTGGGCCCATAGACTTGCAGAGATGGGGCATGCTTTCATTGCTGGTACCATTGCTGGTCTGGTCTCATGCTTATTAATAGAAAGTTCTCCCTTATGCTCATGTTATCTGCCTTCCCAAGCACTGGTCATGACTCACCTTCTTCTTTCATCCACCAGCAGTGGTGGCTGCTGCTCTGAGTTCAGACCAGGAGGCTGGTTGCCACCACCCCCACCCTGGCTGTTCCCAGTGCCAGGTCGCAATGTGCATATAGGCAGGATGTGATTTCACACACCTATAATCCCACCACTTGAGGCTGAGGTAGGAGTGTCTTGAGTTCAAGGAGAGCCTGGGAAGCATAGTGAATTCCTGGATACCATAAGAGATCTTGTCTCAAAACAGGAAACCAAGTCAAGGCAAACAATATCCAAAACAAAAGGAAAAGAACCATGCCCAAATAAGTTATAAACATTGTCCATTTATTTTATTTAACTTTCCAAAGAACTCTTTAAAATAGATATGTGATAACATCCTCATGTCCCCTCCCCCCCCCCCAGATCCACAAAACTACCAAGTGGTAGCCTTGGATCTACGGGGTATGACTTCAGGGCCTTCCAGGCAAAGCTGTGAGACTAGGCCCACTCTAGTGAATCTGTAACAGGGAAGAGCATGCTCTAATGGCAGAGAATAATTTGGAACAAGAGCAGCTGTGTTTTCACAGCCTGGAAAGGGAGACTCCAGAGCTGAGGAAGACTTCTCTTGGGTCCGATGAGGAGCTGGTGCCGGCTCCTCTCTGCTCAGACCGTGGCTTCTTGAACATTTCTGGCTTTGTGTTCTTGGTGGGGTTTATTTTCCAGGTCCAGGGCTAGTCTGAAGCCTGGGATGTGATTTGTTAGCAGGTCTCTGCTCTGCCTGATGCTCCCTGGGCTGTGGCTCCTAGGGGAAAGTGTCTTCCTGCCTGAAAGCTCCCTCCTCTGCCCCTCCCTCCTCAGCTCAGACACAGGCCCTCCCTCCCAGGAGAAATCCATTTGTCTTCCCAGTGAAGAGTGGACAAGCAGCTGAGGGGTGGCAGGGAGGTGAAGCCAGTGAGGAGGCTGCTGCTCCTAGCATTGCCATATGCAGCATGCTTTCAGCCTGGCCTTGGGATCCCCTGAAACTCCAGGGCAGTATCTGGGGTGGGGGGTATCAGCAACTCCCTGCCTTTGGGTGCGCCTGGCTGGAGTGAGGTGCCAAGACCCCTGCCCACTTCTTTGCTTGTAAACAAACAAGGCAGGCTGGAGCTGCCTCTGACACCCCCTCCCTTCAGCCCCCAGTCCCTAACAGCAGAGGTTGGGAGGGGGTGTTCAAACAAGTCTGGCTTTTTTTGATGGGGAGTGTCTCATGAGCTGCTCTTAGCCTCACAGCAAAGTCCTTTATGGCCTGTGGGTTGAGATGAGATGATGGGCTAAGGAGGAGAGGAAAGAAAGGGCAGAGTAAGGCAGAAGTTACAGGTGCGACTGACAGGTAGGCCTAGAGGCTAGTAGAATGAGTGTTCCCTCAGACTTTGGCCTATCAAAAACCTCTATTCAACTCGAAGCAGGACTGGAGGTGAGAGGAGAGGAGGAAAATGGAGACAGGAAAGCACACTCTCCATTCTGAGGTTTTTTATTCCTGGCTCAGCACCCTGTCTGTCTCTCTCCCTGTCCAGGAGAGAACTGCGAGGATAAGAGCCCACCGGGCCCAGCATCCAAGAGGGTGCGCACAGCGTACACCAGTGCTCAGCTGGTAGAGTTGGAAAAGGAGTTCCATTTCAACCGCTACCTGTGCCGGCCGCGCCGCGTGGAGATGGCCAACCTGCTGAACCTCACCGAACGCCAGATCAAGATCTGGTTCCAGAACCACAGCATGAAGTACAAGAAGGACCAAAAGGCCAAGGGCATCCTGCATTCTCCGGCGGGCCAGTCCCCAGAGCGCAGTCCTCCTCTC